CTCCCAATACTTCTGTTAGTCTTAAAGGTGCCACAGGACCCTCTGTTTCTATTTCACAGCTTGTTATGGGCAACAGCTCCTTGGATAAGTTGGGAACATTGCTTACGGCAGTATCATTGGTCATACAAACCACTAGAACGGACTGTAGACTCTGCAAATGCTTACTCACATTGATCACTTTATTCACATGGATCAGCATTTGGGTTTCACTTGGTACATATGCTGATTTGAAAAAAGGCCTCAAGTGTGTAACACAATGAAGCTACTACATAGAGTAATTTGGCTTTACAAATAATAATAAGATTTTACCTTTCTTTAAAAGTAAACTTGTTCTCTTTTTTTAAAACAATGTAAATATTTTTCACACTAGCAACTATTTATAATTAGAAAATATTTCAATGTAAAGTACGTTTTCTTAACAACTCCTAGCATTTAGTAACAGGAAAACACTGAAATGTGAAAATAGCAATTCAGTAGTTAAACATTCTGTTGCTTTCATATCTGTTGACAAAGTTTTGATGCTGAAGACCATTTATTATATAAGTTAGGTCCTACTTGAAATGCAGGCTGATTGTCAAATAATTTGTGGCTGAGATGCGGACAAGACATGGAGAACGGTAGAAAAGTAATAACGGACCTTTATTAATTGTGGTAATTTGGAAAACCCAGAGAAGACCTATTTGTTTAAGAAAAATTTGCTAGAACGATATAAACACTTAAATATTATGTTATGCCTGCTATTTTTTTGATAACCAGACATTTTGCTACAACTATATTAGAGTCATTAATCATAGAGTAATTTTTAATCATAGAATATCAGGGTTGGAAGGGACCTCAGGAGGTCATCTAGTCCAACCCCCTCCTCAAAGCAGGACCAATCCCCAGACAGATTTTTGCCCCAGATCCCTAAATGGCCCCCTCAAGGATTGAACTCACAACCCTGGGTTTAGCAGGCCAATGCATGTGTGGCTGACAGCGGGAGCCTGCCCTCCCGCCCTTGGGGATGACAGCCAGAGTTCCGCTGCCTGGGGCTGACAGCCAGAGCCCTGCCACTGTCAGCATGGATAAATGGGGAAAAAAAAGTGTGTGTTGCAAATCTCAAAATGTAAGAAAAATTGTGAACTGTGCAAAGTAAGTTAATTAAAATAAAAACTGCAGTGGAAGCTTAATATTACGGGATCCGCAATTTCCGCAATATAGCAAATTAAGTAGTACATAAGGTGTTTTTTCATCCCCAAGTTAACGGTACTTAAGCATATGCTTAACTATGCATGTGAGGATTCTCCACTGACTCAATGGAACTACTTATGTGCTTAAGTGTCTTGCTGAATTGGGGCCATATTGGTCAATTTTTTAATGTTCTTGTTCAGTACAGGAAATTCATTCCTCTTAGATCACGTCAACTCTATTTGTTTTGGGTACAGAATTCATTTTATCCTGAAATAAGCAATGAATTGAAGAAAGAAGCTTGGTATAATTTGCTTCATTCCATCCCATCCTACCATAATTTTGTACGTAACTAAGATACCTGATCAGATGCTTACAAATAAAATAGGGCAAAGACCTTTCCCAAGTTAAGTTTTCCCTTTGGGTGTCTACATGCATGTCTCCTATCTTTTCACAGTGGTGTATCATCATTTTGATTGAAAGAATCTGCATGCTTTGTAGTACTTGTGAGAACAAGGATTATCCCAACAGTTATGAAATCTTACCATCATCAGGTACAGTGTAACGCACATATTCAGGAAAGTAATCTTCAATTTTTGATTTCCCTGCCAAGACCTTTTCAGCTAGCATATCCTGTTTGTTCAAGAACAAAATGATAGAAATGGTCCGTAACCACCTGTGAAGAACAAACCAGATGTTGATGCCAACTCTAACACATCCATTGGACAACCATTTCATAATCTTTAATGGCCTATTCCTATTTTGTGTGGTCTGTGAGGCACTTTTAACCAAGTTTAATAAAAAAACAACCAAGCTAAACTAATATTTCAGTTATCTTGAATTCACATCCATACTGGTTGATATATCAATAGCGTTTAAAATATATTGTTTTATAGATTAACCCTCTGCTACCAAATCACTAACCCTAGGCACCAGAGCATTAACATTTTCTAAAAACGTCACAGTAAAAACTTAATACTAGTGCTCCTTAACATGTAAACATGTGCTTGGTTCTACTAAAGCAACAGAGAAATATTGGAGGTTACTTATCTGTCTTGTACATTTTTCATACAAATTGCTGTATCTGAACTGACCAACTGATCATCCAAACCAGAATCCTACTTCTGACAGTGGCCTATATGGTACCTGATGAGTCAGGGGAAGTAAATCCCATTCTGCCACAATAATGCACTGGACTATTATTGTGACACTACACCACTGGGATTTGTGCTAAAAATTCTTCCTGACCTAGTCTGAGAATCACCTTACACCCAGGAGCATAAAGATAGATAAATCAAGTCTTGTAACTTCTCATGATCTTACGTTGCATTTCATTTTTACTTATTATCAATTAGAAATCTATTCAAATTGCTAGCTAGTTACCATATCTATCATTTACAGAGACTGCAACATTAGTGTAATCTAAAAGAATGCTACAATTAGATTAGATAAACTGTGGCAGCTGTTAAAATATCTAATTATACACTTATCATACAATACAACCTTATAACTTCACACTTTAGTAAATGGCAAACTCCAAATTTCATACACTAATCTCCCTACAGATTTTGGAGTTGCTTAAAATGATGCCTGGCAAGATTTTGTGGTTGTATTAGGGATGGGAACAAGAAATGTGACATCATGCTGTCAGCTGGACCTATCATGAAGCCCCATGTCATGCGCTAACCTTGACCCAAACAGTGGCTAAAGTTCTTAAACAGGGCTACTTGCTTATAACTGGGTGCAGTCCCACTGGACTTGTTTTCAGGGGACGACTCTTAGGAGAGCCGCTGCCTGTATGCTCTTGTGGTATTGAGACTGGTGCCGTGAACGTGCATGAAGTTGGTTGCTGCTACTGCTACCATACTGCTGTGATGAGAGGACATCCTCAGTGTATCTGCTCCCACCTGAGGGGGAGATGGAGCTGAAATATGAGAACATCCTGATCTTCCCCACTCAAACATAGCGATGGCAGAATTGGGTTTCACTCGCTTCCTTAGCTTAACACTACAGAAATACAGAAGTGGTGGCAGCTCTTGAGACCTGGCTGCTGACCTTTCCAAAGCCCTTGTCACTCCCTGCCTGAATCTGTATGCTTCTGGTGGGCCATCTGGCCTGTCGGCTTCTTGTTCAATTCTATGATCCTGTTAGAATACCGAGAAACTGACGTAGTCTTGTCTCTGCAGCAGCAGCAGCAATGTACTGTAAGTACAATAGCCCTGTTCCAGGGCCATAGATGGTGTTGAGGAGGGGTTAGTGCAGTTGGTGGTGCTTCAAGATTGGTTACCAGGGAACATTCTGGTCCTGTCTTGACATTTTCTAAACAAAAAAAATCTAAATACTTAGCAATGGGGCCTGCTCATTAGTGAGGTATCACTGTATGCACTGAAGTACACGTTCATTGGCAACTTAAAGTGGCAAAGTTCTTTTCAATCGGTAAGGAAAGATATTTTATTTGAAATTTCTATAAGTTGCTACAGACATATCAATAATAACAGATAGAAAAAGTACTTGACTGAGCCTTTAAAATTATTAGCTAATGTTTAAGTAATTAATGCTTGAACAAAGCTTAGAAAAATGTAAGTGCTAAATACTAATTTAATTATTATTGACTACATTAATGCTCCAGTAAGAGATTTATTTTTACCTATTGTTCCAGATGCTTTTGAAGAGATCCAGGGATTCCCGTAGTCTGTTTGTGTTATTGTCTTCCCTTATTACCATGTTGTAGCTGCTACAGGCCACAACAAAGATTATAGCAGTGACATCTTGGTGGAACACACAAAAGAAAAAAATAAAGAGAACAGAATGTTTCATTTACCCCAAACAAGCTCAACATTGTAATATTTTAATGCAGCCACACAAAGGCTCCACACAACTCCGTCTGCAGTGTGTACTCTAATTTATGTTGGAAGAAATTATATGTGATGTTGGGTTCCTTTATTAATGTCACATGGTGATGTGCAGTTTTAATCTATGTTCAAATGAGACTGTTTTGCTGTAAACACCTCATTTGGTGAGAGAATCGTAAGAGAAGATGTAGCGAACTGCTAAAATAATACAAAATACACAGATGTTTTTTGAAAAAAGAGACCGGCTTATTTAAATTTAGTGTAAAACAAAATTCTAAGAGCAGTACAGAAATTCTCCCAGCAGAGAATAGATGCAAGCTAAAAATGTGGTGCAGACTTACCATTAAAACATTGGATCCATTTTCTTCTTTCGTCTCTCTGGCCACCTACATCAAACATGCTGTTAAAAAGCCATAGGATGTTATATCATTTGTGTGCACTAGGAAAATCACATGAAGCATGCAGGGTTAGGGTTCAGTCTGACAGATCCAAGGGCAATAGCAAAGAAATACTGCCTGAAGGGGAAGAGTTCCTGAAATTGTGTTGCCATGTCATGCAGACATAACAATTCTATCTTCCCTGCCCTGTTGGGAGAATTCCACTGAATTTCTACAGAAACACACTTTTCCTACAGGATAAATGGATTTTTAAGCCTTTAGGACAGGGGTCTCAAACTCAATTTACCTTAGGGCCAGTGCCTCAATCCTCAAATCCTCCTAGCGGGCCAATGTCACTTATGCCGCCCAGAACCCACCCCCAAAAACTCCACCCCCCACCTGCCTAAGGCTCTGGGACAGAGTTTGGATTGGGGAGGAAGTCTGGGATAGGGATTGGGGTGGAGGCTCTGGGAGGGAGTTTGGGTGCAGAAGGGGTGAGAGATTGGGCTCTGGGAGGGAGTTTGGGTGGGGGAGGGTCGGGTCGGGTGCAGGCTCTGGAATGGAGTTTGGGGGCTGGGGTGTGTGTGGGGAGGGGATGCAGGCTCTGGGAGGGAGTTTGGAGGCTGGGGGGGTGCGGGGATGGGGTGCAGGCTCTGGGAGGGGGTTGGGGGTGTGGTGCTTATCTGGGGCTCCAAGGCGGGGCGGGCCGGGGGGCCTCTGCGCGCTTCTGCCCCCAAGCACCGCCCCAGCAACGTCCCATTGGCCACAGGGGCACTCGGGGTGGGGGCAGCACGCAAAGGCACAGCCCCACCCCTGGGCCCCAGGGAGGGGCTGGCAGCCACTGGAGCAAGCAGGCAGACGCCGCTCAGCTCCACTGTGCTACTGGGGCCCCTGTGGGGGAATGTGGGGCCAAGGGAGCGATCCGGCCCCAAAACTGCTGGAGCCCCGGGGGCCACATTGGGGAGGCTCATGGGCCGCAGATGGCCCGCGGGCCGGGAGTTTGAGACCCCTGCTTTAGAACTATATGTGGCTGAGGTTTTGTGTGAGACCCTTTTATAGGTTTGGCGTCAAAATGTTTGGATCTACCGTGCTCTAACAGGCACAAGTTTCAGAATATTTCCAACACTCAGTGGGGAAGTTAAAATTCAGAGGCACAATATTGATAAAATATTTTGGTGAAAAATAATAACTACAAGCAGCCTGATGAGGCGTATGAAAAAAAGTGTGTGTTTTAATAGGGAAACAATATAAAACAGTAGTGGGCAACCTGCAGGGCACATGCGGCCCATTAGGGTAATCTGATTGCGGGCCGCGAGACATTTTGCTGACGTTGACCATCCGCAGGCACGGCCCCCTGCAGCTCCCAGTGGCCGTGGCTCACCGTTCCTGGCCAATGGGAGCCGCGGGAAGTGGCAGCCTCGTGGCCGGCAATCAGATTACCCTGATGGGCTGCAAGCGGCCTGTGGGCTCCAGGTTGCCCACCACTGATATAAAACCTCAAAATCCATAGATTACAGCTCTTCAGAACAAGAAGAGACTTATTTCTTTGGGCCCAATTCTTCAAACCCTTACTGATGCAAATATTCCCAATGAAGTCTGCATCGACTCCAAAGAAGGTAAAGAAAGTACTGTGTAAATTGACAAGATTACATAAACATTATGAAATGAAATAATAAGCAACATCCACCACAGATACACCCTAGGATAGAAAGACACTAGGGGACACTACTACAGTTTTCAGCTCTCTTTTCTTTTTGAGTAAAAGCCAATTACATTGTGTCCTATAAAGACAAAGAGGTTGGAAGACCTACAATAGCTATAATATAAAAGGTGTGAGGTAGGGACATCTGAATCAAGTGGTTCAAAGTAAGTACAATAACCATAAATTATTGCTAATACACTTACTGAAAATTTACTTTATCTACTTGAAATCTTGTTTCAAAAATCCCTGATGTCAAAACTCTGCATCTTAATAGATCCTGGAAATAAGAAAATAGACACAGATGAATGACATTTTTACCCCCTTATTTTGGTTTGAAAAGCATGGAATACTCCTTTAGATGAAAATCCTTCATGTTCATTTTAATTAAAGTAAAATCTGTCTTGTTTATAAGCATTTACCTGCAAATTCACACAATCAGTATACAAATAAAATAACATAGCTAGATCTTGACTTTGTAGAAGCAGGGGGATGTCACATGTTTTCGTCCACTAAACACATATTGAAGTCTGTTACTGATGATTGTATAAAGTTGCACATGTGAGATGGATAATGTATTTTAAATTATATAAAAAGTTTAAAATGTTAGGTTGCAAAGTCAAGCACTCACAAGTTAGGAAATGCCAGATTTACAGTTGCTTATGCAACCTTAATTCTGCCCCCCTTATGCCCTGAATGAGATGAGTCCTAGGGAAAAATAGTATGTGATCATGTAATTAAAGATTGTATCATAATTAACAAGGGGGCAGAATTAAGGTCATATGCACAGCTGCAAACCTGGCATTTCCTATCTTTTGAGTACTACTTAACTTTAAAACAAATAATATTCTTAACATAGTTTTTAATGTAATTTCCTAGGGTTTTTTTTAAAAGGAAAAATATTTTAAAATTCTACTGTGTGCAAGAGAAATTAACTCACCTTGTGCAGTAACTGAGGTTCTTCGAGATGTGGATCCCTATGGGTACTTCACTTCAGGTGACGGTGCGATCCGGCACCGTTGATTGGAGATTTTTGGTAGCAGTGCCTGGTCAGGCCGCATGTGTGTCTTGCGGCCATTGGAGTCTCGGTCAGCGTGCGCATGGCCCACACCCGTTGGTTCCTTCTCTACTGTAGAGTCCTTGTAGCGAACTCCAAAGTAGAGGGGAGGAAGGTGGGTAGTGGAGCACCCACATCTCGAAGAACCTCAGTTACTGCACAAGGTGAGTAACCTTCTCTTCTTCGAGTGTTGTCCGTGTGGGTGCTCCACTTCAGGTGAATGTAGAGCAGTACCCATTATGGTCGGGGGTGGGGGGGGGAGGAGACTTGGAGTTATGTGAATGGTAGAAGTAGAGAGGACTGTGAGGCCTAGTGTGGCATCTGCCCTAGAGTCCTGAGTGATGGCATAGTGGTTAGCAAAGGTATGCTCTGATGCCCATGTGGCAGTTTTGCAAATTTCCGCAATGGGTACGTTGTCTAGGAATGGCATGCATGTTGCCATGGCCCTAGTAGAATGGGATCTAATCCCAGTAGGGAATTGTATGTCGTGTGTTTGATAACACAGGCGGATGCAATTGGATATTCAGTTGGAAAGGCATTGTATGGATATAGCAGCACCTTCGGATCATTCTGTCGTCGAAACGAAAGCTATAGCCCTCCTAACATCCAGGGTGCGCAATGAAGCGTCTTGTAGATTTTGTGCGGTTTAGGGTAGAATGCAGGGAGATGAATAGGTTGGTTGATATGGAAGGTAGATGCTACTTTGGGGAGGAATTTGGGATGGGGTTGAAATGTGACCTTATCTTTGACAAAGACCATGTAGGGTGGATTGGCCATCAGTGCACTAATCTCGCTAACCCTTCTAGTGGATGCGATTGCCACTAAGAATGCCACCTTCATTGACATGTGTTGTAAGGAGCAGGTGGCTAGTGGTTCGAATGCGGGTATCATGAGTCCCTTGAGGACTAGGTTCAGATCCCACGTGGATGTGGGAGAGTGTACTTTGGGGTAAAGGTTCTGGAGCCCATCTAAGAAGTGTTTTATGATTGGATGTGTAAATGTTGAGAATCCATCAATCTTGTCATGGAAGGTGTTAATTGCCGAGAGATGGACTTTGATAGAGCTTAGGGATAGGCCTGAGTTCTTGAGCTCTAGAAAATAGTCTAGCACCATGGGTAGGGGCGTAGTGCAGGGAGTGAGGTGTTTGTCAAGACTCCATGTGGAAAAGCGTTTCCATTTTTGTAGGTAGGTCTTCCACGTGGACTCACATCTGTTGTTCATTAACATGTGTTTGACTTGTTCTGAACAGGTTAACTTGTATAAATGGAACCATGGTGCAGCCACACCTTCAGATGGAGCTTCTCCAGTTGTGGATGGATGATGTGGCCATGATAGGAGGTCTGGCCTCATCGGGAGGATCTGTGGAGGACAAACTGACATGTGCAGAAGGTAAGGAGGGTACCAGGTCTGTCTGGGCCATGCTGGAGCAATCATGATGATCCTGGCCTTGTCATCCCTGATTTTGCGTAGGACTCTGTGTATCAGAGGTATGGGGGGGGGATGCCTACGTGAGTGTCTTGTCCCAACTGATTAGGAAAGCATCCCCCAGAGATCAGGGACCGAGTCCTGCCTTGGACAGAACAGTGGGCATTTGTGGTTTTGCACTGTGGCAAATAGATCGACAGAGGGAAATCCCCATTGGTAGAAGATCTGTTGTAAGACCGTATGGTTCAATTCCCACTCGTGCTCCTGCGGAAAGTGTCTGCTTAGTGTGTCAGATGTGGTACTTAGACATCCCGGGAGATAGGAAGCTGAGATGTCAATGTGGTGTCTCCTGGCCTCGGTGCAGACAGAGTGAGACCGAGCCCCCCCTTGTCTGTTGAAGTAAAACATGCACACTACATTGTCTGTCATCACTCTTATAGATTCATTCCAGCCCAGTAGGGAGGCCCCTGTTGTGATCATGATCGATGGTGGTGTTTGTTGGAAGGGAATACCTGCACACAGGTTTTCGGGTTTGGTCCACCACTGTAGGGATTCTAGGACTTTGGGAGGTGACGTAATGAGCTTGTTCAGGCTGTATTTGGTGGGTCTGTACACCGAACTCAGCCAGCCTTGGAGAAACTGCATATGTAGTCTGGCATGCTTTACCACTAATGTGGTGGCAGCCATGTGTCCTAATAGTTGTAAGCAGGTCCTCGCCTCAATTCGCGGACATATAGAGATGTTGTCTACCAGGTGTTTTATAGCCAGATATCTGGCATGGGATGAAAAGCTCTGGCTTGAACTGAGTCAAGGTGTGCCCCGATGAAGTCTAACTGCTGTGTGGGTCCTAATATTGACTTCTGCACGTTCAGTTGAAGTCCCAGTTTTTGGAAGAGATGGGTGGTGAGTTGCGTGCTTGTTTCTGTCTCTGTGAACGTGCGTCCTTTGAGGAGGCAATTGTCCAGGTATGGAAAAATTATGATCCCTTGTTTGCATTGATATGCCACAACTACTGCAAGGGTTTTGGAGAAGACTCTCAGTGCAGTGGACAGTCCGAATGGGAGCACTCTGTATTGCAAATGATCGTGTCCCGTGAATCGGAGGAATCATCTGTGAGCTGGGTGTATAGTGAAGTTAAAGTAAGCATCTTGTAGGTCGAGGGCTGAAAACCAGTCCCCTTGGTCCAGTGCTGGGATTATTGTGCCTAAGATGACCATCTTGAATTTTTGGGAGTGTGCGAATTTGTTGAGTTTTCTGAGGTCTAGCGTCGGGTGCCACCCCCCACTTTTCTTCTGAGTCAGGAAATAGTGTGAATAAAACCCCTTCCCGCTGTACTGTGTTGGTACTGGTTCCATGGCACCCAGCTGGAGGAGACGATTTACCTCCAGTCTCAGAAGGTGCTTGTGAGAGGGGTCCCTGAAGAGGGACAGGGAGGGAGGTAGGGTAGTGGGGCAAGAAGTAAAGGGGATGGAATAGCCCGACTGTACTATTTCTAAGACCCAACGGTCTTGAGTGATGTGCTCCCACGCCGGTTAAAAATGTCGCAGGCTGTGGCCAAACGGGCAGATAGGTGCTGGTGTCATGGGGAGGTCATTCAAACCCTCGACCAAACCTTCAAAACTGCCGTTTGTTTCCAGTGGGTTGGGGTGCTGATTGCTGTGGCTGTGCCTGCCGGCACTGAGGTGGTCTGTTCCTTTGTCTGCCCGAGTCATATGGTCTGGGTTGAGGGCAGGTATATGGATGATCCCTAGGTCATTGGTAGGGTTGGTATCATTTCCTCTTCTGAGGTGGAGTGTATATGCCAAGTGTGCGTTAGGTCGCATGCGAGTCCTTCACAGTGTGTAGAACTTCATCTGTTTTGGCGGAGAATAGTTTGTCCCTATCAAAAGGTAGATCCTAACTTCAATTGCAGCTCCTTGGGTACGCCCGAGGACGAGGGCCAGGAAGCTCTACACATGACGATAGCCACAGCAGTGATACAGGCAGCTGTATCGGCCATATCCAGGGTTGCTTGTAAGACAGTTCTCGAGATCAGCTGTCCTTCAACAAGTATGGTCTTGAGTTGTGTGTTCTTGTCCTCAGGGAGGTTAGTGGTAAATTTGAAGAGTTTGGCATAATTATTGTGACCATATTTTGCCAGGAGAGCGCTGTAAGTGGCAATACGAAATTGCAAGGTGGAAGAGGTGTATAACTTGAGGCCCAAGAGGTCCAGGCATTTGTGGTCTTTATCCTGGGGTGTTGACCTGTGTTGTGTTTGTTTGTCCCTATAAGCTGCAGCTTCCACCACGAGAGAATTTGGTTGCGGGTAGGAAAAAAGAAAATCCATGCCTTTTGCAGGCACATAATACTTCCAGTCTGCCCTTTTGCACGTTGTGGGGGCAGTGACTGGTGTCTCCATACTGTTGCCATACTGTCTCCGCCAGCTCTAGGATAGCCTCATTTATGGCGATGGCGAATTTTGTAGTAGAGGATGGCTGTAGCATCTTCAGCAACTTGTGCTGGTTCTCCTGGACCTCCTCTAGGGGATTGTCCTGGCTAATGCCTATTTTTTAAAAAATTCCTGGAATTGCTTGAAATCGTCTGCCAGCGTTGGAGGAGGCAGCATGATGGCCTCGTTGGGGGGAAGAGGACAAGTTATATGCGGGCGACAAATCCTCGGTGCCTGTTTCCTCCTGTGGTTCTTAGGTCGTCTCTTCTGGGGCCACCAATATTGCAGAGACGTTGGTGGAGAGCATCATTCTCCCCTGGGTGGTGAAGAGGTTCGTATGTAGTGGGCCTTGGATGCCATACATGGATCC